TGCAAGAGAAATCTGATTATTATATTTAAAGAGGAAAACAACATTATTTGGTTTCCCAGTATTAGAAAATATTATTTTTTCTCTTTCATTTCACAGTTTACATAGATGTGAATTTAGGGTTTGTTTTTTGCAGGCAGCAGGGATGTTTCCCATTGGATGAGAAATGGAAGCTCATGATTTGCTAAGCTGTGAAGCTCAGATGGGGTTTGGATGGGGAAAGTCAGAGTTTCTGGTGGGTGACTGTCATAAGAGAGTATTCCTTTTTTTCTACATCTACTGTTAGTGGAGGCTTCGTCGTATCTCCTGTGCAGACTGCAGTGGTTGAATTATAAACCTCCCCCCATAGATGCCATACAAATTTGATTCTTTGAACAATGAAAGCAAGAAGCCCAGAAAAGCGAAATTACATTTAGGTGGACTGCATGTGTACCCTGGTTGCTTTTCCTATGCACTGATTATTTTCTGGGTGAGCCCCAGGGTAAAGCTGCTGTCACTCAGCTGTTAATATCCTGAGTTGTTCTTCCCTTAAGGGAGAGGAAGACAGCTCAGGCACTAACTGCCTCCTCTCCAGTAGTGTTCCCTAGCTGCGGAGCCTGAGACAGGGATGCATTGAAGAGGAGAAAGGGAGTGACGAAGCAGGGCAGGGCATGTGGCCTTAGCTAGAGTCTAGCTTCAGTTAGCGCACCAAGTTGATGTCCCTCAGGTTGAAGGAGCTGGCTTTTGCATGGGTTGTTAGGGGAAGGGGTTTTAACCTCTCCAGTGAAGTGGATCCTGCTAGATTGAGGGTCTTTATCAGCCAGGCTCCCAGCAACTAGGAGATGGCTGCCCCCAGGTCAAGGAGTTGGATGGAGGGCCAGCAGCACGCACCTTTTGCTTTTGTCTCTCACCTTTTTCAACTCATGCTTTATTCTGCATTTATCATTCTGTTCAGAAACCATCAAAGACCCCTCACTACCTAGAGAACACATTCCCAATTTTCCATTGCTCCCATCTTTTTTATTTCCAATCTTTCTTTCACTACTCTTGCTACTCTCCCCAGGTAATCAGCCCACCTTCGTCCTGCATGTTTCATGAATCCCTTCCCTTCTTCTCTACCCGACATACTCCCTTGATCATTCTTTCATCTCAAATGCTTTCTTATTCATGCCTAGAACTTAGAGTCAACAGACCTATGATTGAGTCCTCATTCTAATACATTTTTGTTTGGGTAAATTATTTAACCTCTTTGAATCTTGGTTTCTTCACCTATACAAGGGGTGGTTAGTTCATAAGTTCAAATGCAATGTTGCTTTTTAAAGCTTTGCAAAATTCTCCCCATGCTACCCACTTGTAAAGGGGTCTACCCACGAAGACACTGTGCTCCCTTTATTCTATAAACCTTCTTGTACTTATTGTGTCAGCTGCTTGTAATTTATCATAACTGCACTTGAATTATGAGGCAACGATACCTTTGGGGACGCTATCTTCTTAACGAGACTGGAAGCTTCCCAAAGGCAGGTACATTGCTTAACCATCTTCCATAATGGCTAATATAGGAGGTGTTCCGTGGAGGTTTGTAAATTAATGTGCTTGTTAATGGCAACTTGTATCTGGACAATAAAGGTATAGGAGGAAAGAGAGTTTCAAGCCTAGATGATTGCAGTTGAAAAATCCAACAAAGTTTAGGTTTATGATTAAAACGGAAACTTAGAAGCTGATGGTGATATATAATTAACAGTGATCAAAAGCTCACCAGAAAAGGGAACTTCTTAAGGAAGTGAGGGACTTCCAATCCAAATATATGTAAGAAATGAATAGTTCTAGTAACCAATATGTTAGCCAACAGGTCTCAAAAATGTCTTCTCTCAATTATTTGCTTTCTTCGTATTTATCAAGTTATAGCTAAGTAAAATATGCTTTTAAAAACATTTTCAATTCCCTTAGAAACTTTGAATTTGTATTATATACCCTTCTCTCAAGACTGGAATATTTAGTTAGGATATCTGATTGGAACTGTATGTCAAAATGATTAGAATCAGTAGGTTAATTATAAAAGGTAATGTTATTAAGAGTTATTATTTATTATATTCTTAGTGGCGAGAGTTTATTTTTTAGTGTATTCCATCATGCCCCAAGAGTATTTATAGACCAAGCTTCTTAGCAAGTCTGGCTTTCATGATTTCACTCCATGCACTGGGCTTGTACAAGTGGCTATTGAACACCAGCCAAGATGATTCACTTTTTATCACAAGATGGAAAACTTCTTTCAATATGGTTCTATCTTGAAATATCTGTTTTCCGCTACTGGTAAAATACCAGTGACATATAAGGTAGTAAGCATTCATTGAACACTTTAAAATAAGTAGTTCAGGACTGTTAAAAATCTGAAATGGGATTGTGATGAAAAAATACAAGTGGACCGTATCACAATACACTGAACTTACCCATTTTTCTCCTTTATCTCCCACCTATAACTCTAAATACAGAGCTGGGGGAGAGAAAGAAATTGTGAAAGACCTAGAGGAATGCCTAATTAGCTGACTATTTCTACTATAGTTGGCATTTGTCTCCTTTTAAAATAATCCATGGTTTATGTGTGTTTCTCAGCTGAAAGTTAGGAGCTGAAAAAAGATAGGATATTTGGAATGTCAGATACAGGGAAGCATTTCTATCAAACACATTATTGAAGGTGGAAAAAAATGAGATTGAAACAAAGAACACCTGCTACTTTAACTCATTTAAAAAAACATAATGTTCTTTACTTGCTGACTGGAAATACTGTATTTTCAGAGAAGAGAAAGTGCTAATATAAATAGGAGAAAATGTAATGATTCACTATGCAATGATATGAAATCAGAAATATTTGAAATTGGGTATTTCAGTTTGTGGAGGGGAAAGTATTTTGTATTAAAATGGTTTTGCTCATCAGGTGGTGACTATTTCTCACAAATTGCAGTAAAGAGAATAAAATCGGCTTGTCACTAAAGATTTTTTTTTATTGACATCTTTAGCTTGTCTTCATGCCAGTAATTAAATTGCTAATTATGTGTTTCTGTTACTGTGGTCATGCTTTTATTACATAATTGCTTCAAGTTTTGCGCAAATCACTAACAATATTTATTTAACCTTTTTATGCATTAGATAAATTTTAATATATAAAAGCTTTGAAACGAGTTCATTGACTCTGTTTTGATTAGCAGAATCAAAGGAATTCTAACCTTTTTTATAGTTACATGGGTTGGGTCATATTTTCAATGAGATTGCTGATGATTATTAATTCAAGCAATAGCAATCATTGAAAGACCAGTTGAAATAGAAGAAAAAAAATACAAAGAAAACTTTTTAAAAACCCAGTGTCCATTCCAGAAAAATAAAAAGATCTTTAAGGTAATCAGAAGTATAAAATTAATAATTTGATCCTTAGTATGTGCCCATATTTTTCCAAAAAATGTTTGATTAAATTGTGGGTAATTCAGTTACCAAGCTTCTCCTCCCCTTTGAATGTGGGCATAATTTTTGTCAGTGTTTCAATGTATTCATGATTTTTTTTCTCATTTGTTTATTTTATGCAAACCATAAGAGACATTTTTCTCCGTGAAGATTGCCGCTTTATTTTATTTTGAAATATTTGTATATTTATTTCATTAAATGAGATAATGCTTTTTCTTATTAACATAATTTCCAGTACATTAAACATATTTCTCCACAGACAGAAGAGACGAATCAAATTAAATGACAGCTAAATCACTTGCAGCAATTTCAACTGTTAAAAGAAATAAGTGTCTCTGCTTTCTTTGTGATCACAAGATGTGCTGTAAAGGGAAATGAAATACTAAAGAAAGAAGGGAAAACATAAAGAAATAATGACTGACTTATTGCAGTAATACCATTGAGAGAAGAAAAATTCACTACAAATAAAAGGAAAAATAATATAGTGGATTTGAAAGTTACCAAAATTCATTTCTTATTGATGAGTTCAGTGGAAGCCTAATACTAAGTAAACTGATGAAAAAAAATCAATGCAATAAACTATGAATGATGAAAGTTGAAATAAATACTTTGCGTATGGAGGACCGTTATTCTAAATGTCTTTAATTTTTTAATAATTCATGTCTTTGTGTTTATAAAAAAGGAGGAATTATTGCTTGGTGGACTCAAAATGCATGTAAAAAGCATCTACTAGAATCCCATATTTAGTAATATGTCCAACTGATATTGATGACCTTATGATTTTTAGTGTCATGTCCTGACTTTGACAGAAGAGCATTAGGGGGAGGCAAACTTTACATTTAAAATGGTGCTGACAATTGATACTGGTGAATTTATACAGCATACTTAGTCTATCAAAGATAAACTGCTTCCCAAAAAGACAATTAATTTTTGGACCATGGAAAGAACAAAACTCAGTATATATATTATATGTATGTATGTATATAGCGTGCTTGTAAATATTCTGGGGGACAGCAATGGCACTTTTCTACAAAGCACAGCGTTGCCACACACACATACGTGTGCATACATACGTATGTGTGTGTGTATTTCTTTTAATGCTGGTCAACTTCTTAATGTGTTCAAATCAGAGCATACAAGTTACCTGGATCTATGCATTTGCAGGTGGGCTTATCTACTCATTTTCTCTCTTTTCACACATCATTAAAAATAACTAGTTAAGTTAATCAATTCAATCAGAAGGCAGTCAATTCAGTATGGGGAAAAAAATTGCTGAGGCCACTTTTACTGAATTGATTTTGACTGAATTAACCTTCTAATACAGTTGATCTTGAAGCCCTCTCTTCTCGAACTCCTATCTTTCTCTCCCCTCCGGTCCCCAATCAGTTCGCACCTTAACACTTCATCCCTGCCCCTCCCTTTTGGCTTTTTCTTTTCATCTTCCCTCCACCGTGTTAAGAATTCTTTTCGTCTGCCCCCGTCTTCCTGTTCACCTTCCCCTCTCCTCTTGCACTTGCCCCACTGGAAAAAAAAAGATTCTAAAGCTGGTTTTTCTTTTCTTTGAATTACAGAGATTTGAAACTATTGCTTTGCCGAAAACATCTGGCTGCCGGTCTAGAATGTGACTCTTGAGGTAATAATTGTGATTTTTCCACTTTTAGAGACCTCTTCTTCCCTAAGGTTCTCGGGCCCTGCTCAGAGTAAACTTTTGGACCATCTCTGGGATTGTTTTGTTCTCAGCAGGGCACTTTCCAGGGTGTGTGGGAGCTGCGAGGTGTGCAGTTTTCTGAGGGGTGGAGGAATGGTGGCATAGGGGGGCGATGTTAGTGTTCAGGATCCTTTTGTGTACCCACTTTGGAAATACTTCCTCTTATCTTCCCTTCAGAATGCAGGGGATAAGGCCAAAGTGCAGGCCACATGCAAGAGATTCTGAATTATGCATTAAGCTGATAATGCCCCAGAATGCGAGCTTATGTCAATAAATACCTAGGCTGGTAGGAGGAGGGAGGTCACTTTACCTGTGTGGAGGGCACCACATGGGGAGAGACTAGGGACAACCTAGGTGAAAGGTGAGAGGAGTTCACCTCCGGTCGGCTTGCTCTGATGAGGAAGCAAGAAGAGTAAGTTAATATTGAAATTATTGTCTAATGCTTATTTGCTTTGAAATTGATTTAACCAAGATAACAAGACTATCTCCAGTGTGGGCCCTGTGTGTGCAAGTTTGCATTTGTGGCAGGGTTAGCCCTTCTGTGGAAACTTATGTAAAGAAATTCTGTCTAGGGGAGAAATTCATTTGAATCTTTTAATGGGACCTGTAAACTCTTTACAAAGGCAAGATTTTTCATGATGAAATTTGGCAGCACTACCATTGCTGGTGAAAACTGATTCTTTAATCTTTGCGTTGCTTCTCCTGCTTTAGTAAAATGCCTCAATGACTGTGACCATTTTCTACTGTGAGAAATTAACCATGGTGCATGTATACACACACACACACATGAGATTTTTAAAAATACTTAGTTTTATGTCCCAAGGAAATGGGAAATGTCTGGGGTTGGGGACCCTAGGAGAGGAACAACTGAACCTCTACCTATTTTTCCTCATCAAAAAAAGAGAAGAAATTACATGTGCATCTCATCATTTTCCTAGTTTTGCACAGCAATTTGCAGTCCCTGGTTCTGCAATCAGAAGCTCGTGCTTAGACTCACTGTAGCAGTGAAAGTGTTTGTGGGACTCATTCTATATGCACACATGCATATACACACCAACAAATTAAAAATGGATCTGGGGAAACACCCTTCTCCTCAGAGAGTCATATCAAGCAGTGTTTAAATTAAATAATTTGCAGAGTGTGGGGAATAAAGCTTTTGTAGCAGTATCTGGAGGTTATCTTCCCTTGGGAAATTCCTGCCATTTAGTCCAATCTGGTGCATGCCAATGAGACACATAGGCATGCATACACACACTAGTAGATAGAGTTTATTTTACATCTAAATTATATTTATTTCTTTGGGTTATCTGCCATTTTGTGCTCATGTTGAGAAAAAATAAGAGGCAAACCTCTTGTGAAGGGTTGAGGTCATTAAGATCCAAACAGAATCGAGGAAAGGTTATTAGTGAACACGGATGAGGGAAGGCTGACTTCTCCTGGCATAAAGCCAGCTATCCCACAGCTCCTAGGGGAGAGTGGCTGTGAACGTTCCAGCTCAGGTCAGTGTTTGATTTTGCTCCTGGACCATTGACTGATGGCAAAGAGGAGACATGGCAGTGATGAGGTAATGTGAGTGAGTAAACCACAAGTAGCAGATATTAGTTGATTTCTTTCTACTTGTGCTGCTCAACAAATATATAATCTGAATTAGATGTTAAGGAGAAGTTTTCTGGTCAGAACCTCATGCCATGTCTCTAGCCATAACTCATTTCTCTGTAGTGAGATGTATTTTTAGTCTAATCAGCACACCTATCTACCTGTGGAGAAGGTGAGGCTGAGCACAATAAGGATGGTGAATGAAATGCTAACAGGAGGGGAGAGAGAGAGAGAGAGAGGAAGAAAATATCCGCCAATCTATGTACAGGGAATTTGTAAAGTCTTGATTATGAAAATTGGGGTTCTTTTCAAGCAAAAATAGTTATTTTCCCCAGGCCTAAGATTATTTTTGTACCCTTTAGACTCCCACTTTAATCCCTTACTTAAAAAAATTCTTGTAAATTACTAGCAGCCTTTGTAGAAGCTGTGAGTTCGAGTGAAATTCCCAGTGAGTCCTACATTCTAGCTCCCTCCGTTTCTTTGACAAGAATGCTGGTGTGTGAGTCTGCTAGGGCTGCCCTAACAAAATAGGGTAGACTGGGTGACTTAACAGCTGAGCTTTATTTCCTCACAGTTCCTGAGGCTGGAAGTCTGGATCACGGTGCTGGCAGGGTTGGTTTCTGCTGAGACCTCACTCCTTGGTTTACAGATGGCGGTCTTCTCCCTGTGTCTTCACGTGATTGTCTCTCTGCATGCACATGTGTCTGGTGTCTCTTTGTGTCTAAATTTCCTCTTCTTATAAAGACACCAGTCATCTTGGATTAGGGCCCATCCTAAAGTCTTGATTTTAACTTAATCACTTCTTTAAAGACCTTATCTCCCAATATGATTACATCCTGAGAGGGTTAGGACTTCAATATATAAATTTGGGAGCACACAATTCCAGCCCATAACAACTGGACTTTCGAAATATTTGGTAGAATGATAGTATTTTCATTCATTTCTACTAACATACTTGGAGAATTATTGCCCCAACTTTCATTCTCTTCTGCACTTTTGTTATAAGCGATTGAAAGTAATTTATTACAATTAATGTAGGTGGTTGTGTTTTGTTGTTTTAAGAAGTGAAGGTTGGAGAAAGGGGAAAAGTTTATTTCATAAAACAAACAAATCTTGTTTGAATTTTTTTGCAAAAGGAAGTCATCTCTTTTTCTTTCTATGACAGCATGGCAGTAGGCAGCCAGTTTTATCATGGGGGTTAAGAGAGCAGATTTTTGAGTCCACTTGACTGCGTACTAACTCTTGACCTTGAGCAAGTTACTCAGCTACCCTGCACCTCCAATTGATTCTTCCTCTGCATGTTGTGGTTAACAAATAGAAGTGCTTCAAAGGGGTGCTGGGAGGATTAGTTGAGACAATACATGGAAAGTGTACATGGTGGCTGGCTCACAGCAAGTGCTTCTGATGGGCTGAATGTTTGTGTCCTCCCCAAACTCATAAATTGAAGTCCTAACCCCTAGTGTGATAGTATTAGAAGGTGAGGCCTTTGAGAGGCAATTAAGTTGAGATTGGATCAGGAGGGTGTGGCCCTCATGATAGCGTTAGTGCCCCTCTAAGAAGAGGAAGAGAGAGAGATTTCTCTCTCCAGGATCACCACTGAGGAAAGCCTGTGTGAGGACACAACTAGAAGATGGTTGTCTACAAGCCAAGAAGCAGGCCCTCAGGACACTGAATCTGCCTGGACCTTGATCTTGGACTTCCCAGATCTCCAGAACTGTGAGCAATCAATTTCTGTTGAGTAAGCCACCCAGTCTATGATATTTTGTTACAGCAGCCCGGGCAGATGAAAACAGTATTCAGCAAATATTATTTCTCTAATAATCATAATAACCACAGATACTTATGGAATGCTACACTTGCCCTGGTGCTGGACAAATGTAATATCCTTTCAGAATTTTCTCAGATTACAGATTTATTTCCTGCTTTTAGAGGTGGAGTTAGGAGCAGGTTCTTTTTAAGCAGACTTTGATAGAGAGTTGGACTCACAAAGTGTGGATAAAGCAAGCACGCTTTAATGTCACCTCCTGGCCTCCAAAGACCCAAAGATCCTTCATCAGAAAGGAGAGGAACTAGTTAGAAGGGCAGTAGAAAAGAAGGGCTGGGGTCTTCTGAGAGCCTGAGGGTTCTCAGGAACCTGGCATTTTTTCCTCTGGAGAATCTCAGCCTGTGTAGCATGAATGGCACAGACCAGGTGTGTGTCCTCTGATCTCTCAGAGGGATGGGCCACGAGGCCCTTTCTTTGTCCACTGGAGAGAGTGGCTCAGCCTTAGAGTCTAGGAGTCCCAGACACAGCAGGGTCCACTGGGCATTCAGGGCTGGACTGCCAGACAGAGGTTACCCACAGGTGTTTTTAAAATGTGTAGTTGAGTGCCGGACGCGTTCTTTGATTAAGCAGAGTGTTGCCAGCACCACTCAAAATGCTGTATTGTAATCCACTCTCAGGAGCTGGCACTTGGCTTTTAAGGCCCTCAGGGCTCAACTACTGTAGAAATAGTCTGGTGACCAAGGAAGTAAAAAGTAGCATCTCCTTAAGGTGCCTTTGGCTCTATAAAGGGGATTGTCCCATGAAGATCTACATTGAGTCACAGCCCTTAGTTTTGGGAGAAATTTGGGAAAAAGAAAGACACTTGGAGTTGAATACAAAAACAAGGTGTTTGAGCTATGTTATAATAATGCTAATGACGCTTACAGCTGATGTTTATTGAGCATTTTCTCTGTGGGACGCATCATGCTAGCCTCCTTATATTTCTTATCTCATTTAATCTTCCCATAATGCTATGAGACGGGTATATTATCTCAAGTTTACAGATGAACAGTGCAGTAAAACAAATTGCTGGGATTCAAACACAGGCATTTGGGCTCCACTGCAATCTATGGCAGTGTTTGCTGTATTTGGACGGTAATAAGAATCACTTATTTTGGAGGAGTTTTTAAAAAAAACACATATTTTCATATTGTACGTAAAAATAAATCCCAGAGATATTCAAAATCTAAACTTTAGAAACCATAAAAATATAACACAAGAGATGAGTTTTTATAATTGTCAGTTGAGAAAGACCATTCTAAGGAACAGACAAAAGCTTATGTGTATTTACATTATACAAAGTTAAAAGTCAAGTAGAGAGCGTTTAGAAAGTCATAAGGAAAGGATAAATCACACAATACAAAAACGGGTGTAGGATATAAACAGGCAGTTCATAGAAGAAATGAGAATGGCTAATACACATATAAAATGAAGCTAAGAATGAAAATTAAAAAATGAGATGTCATTTTTAATGCATTAGATTGGTAAAACTTTAAATTATGAAAAATATTTAGCATCAATGAGT